GATTAATTCTTCCATTGTCTTATAGTATATGCTCTTTGAACAACAACTCTACAAAATGCTGGTTTTCATGTGCTGATAACGAAGGAGGCCGCGGCGAAGACGTGCCGGCCAGCCGTGATTTTGTTTGGTTGCACGCAATTTTGTATCTGTGACATCTTCTAAAGTATTTATTTAAGTTATATAATTTAAGGGATAATTTTAATTTAGGATAAATGCTCAGGTTAACTAACTTATCTTAATAAATATTAATACTTACTGAATTAGAAAAAACATCGTCGCAAGTAAGCAAATATTTTATGTAAATATTTACTTAATTAAACGTAGGTTATAGACATATTATGCTGGCACGGATTGTTGGGTCTAGAATTTTTAAAGAATGACGATTCCTTAGTAGGTACTTTATTTAATGTATCTCGTTAAAGTTTAGCCAGCGAAGTAAGCGCCCGAATATCGAATTTTTGACAACTTAATTACAAAATTTTGAGCTTTTTCAACTATTCAAACTAAATTATAATGTAATGTACATACGAACCTTCCATAAAAAATATCTAAATGACAGTGAAAAACGTATCAAAACTCGTTGCGTGGTTGCGTAGTTTAAAAGAAGTAAGTAGGTAAGAGGGTGTTTTCCAAAATCGAAAACTACGTATTCATTTATTTTATCAACAAATTACTCAACAGACAATCGCCCCGTAAAATAAAAAGTGTCTTACAAACTGTAACACCTCATTTCATCCTCTGAGGGTTTGAATTTTTCAAAATCCTGTCTTAGTTAATGGCTACGCACTCGTAATAAAAGGAAGTTATGTTGACATAATTTCATGCTTCTACGTTCTGCAGTTTGAGCTGTCTTTCATATCAATATTTTTTTATATAGAACTTGCACCCTGATTTTAAAGCCGGTTAGATTTTGAAAAAAATAAAAACTGTTAATTTTATTATTTTTATTCAAGTTATTTCTAATTAAAAAATATATTAATTAATTTTTCTCTATATAAATTTAAGAACTTGTTGTCCGTAAGAGATTGTTTTGAAACATCTTAATAGAGTACTTTCAGTATGTCTGGAGTCAATCTCCCCGTAAAATAAGAAAGTTCATAAAACTATAACATGCTATTTTCCCCTCTTACCGTTACCGTTACAGCCTATTAAAGTCCACTGCTGAACATAGGCTACCCTCAGATTGCCTCATATTTGCCATAGGTGCCACGCTTGGCAAGCAGGTTGACAACCGCAGCTTATTCATTTTAGTCGTTATCAGGACTCAAATTATATAGGTAGAATGCCTCGTTTTCAGTAAAAAGGGTCCCCAGTTCTCTACACTCACCATACGAAACACAACAGCATTAAGCTGCTATTTTACGCTGGCATTCTGTGAGAGCATGGTCCTAGTCCTACCCCCGATCGAGCAGATCCATTAGTGCTACAACCATAAAATTGCTGCAGCGTGGCTCTACTACGCACTCGTAATATACAGAGTACCTTTAGTAAGTTTCAAGTCAATCGTCTTGTAAAATAAAAAGTTTCCTACAAACTGTAACACCCTATTTCATCCTCTTAGAGGTTGAATGTACACGTTCGGTTTGGACCGAAAGAAATGGAATTATGGCTTTCCGATAAGTGCATAAGATGCGGCCTATTCATTTAGAATGTTTGGCATTAAAAATTGTAAACTACAAAATTGTGCATTTAGCACGTGTGTCTTCTAGAAAACGATATGCTGTGTTGAGCTGCGTATATATTTGGTTTTGTCCGTATTCAATGTTAATATGTTTTGTTGGAGTCATTTATTAATCCTGTCAAAACCTTGCTGTGCACATAAATAAACCTTGTCTATAGATAGTAAAGATAGGATAGTGTAGGGTTCTAAGGTTAAGGTCTGAAAAGTGCCGTTTTTATCACTCACTGACTCACTCATCAAAAACCCGAGCCACTTCTACTCGTACGTTACTTAGAAATTTAAAATCGAGTATAGGTAATAGTAGTAATAGTAATTTAGTATAGTTTAGTAATGGTAAAAAAATCTAATAACTGTAAATTATCGATATACGGTGTCGACAAAGACATTTAATTCTTATAATTTAAATAAAAAATATAATAAAAAAACATGTGTGCAGTTCTTACGCGCGGTAGAATTGAAACATTCAAATGAAATGAAATATAAAACAAAAACATTTCACAGCAAATGATTTATTTAATTTGACAAATTTTCAACTACAAGTGGGGTATAAAATATAAGATAAAAGTTTTATATCAAATATATGTTAAAATCGTTATTTTTAGACACGTAGAGCCAAAATTTTAAGAATATTTTCCTTCGACTAAAATTGCTTTGTATTTTTCGACGTCTACTGAAGTCAATCAATTTTTGTTCGATAAAATGATGTATATGTAAATACAATGAATTCTATAGGTAAAATATTTTTATCGAACAAGGAAATAAAAATTGATTGACTCTCAAGTTGGTCCGTAAAATAGGCTAATGTAATATAAATCGGTAAGTTAGGAAATCTTGTATTATTAAGAATGGTTTCGATATGATAAATTTATTCAATATAATTAAATTTATTTATTTGATAATAAATTTGTAATTTTTTAATTCTTTATTTTAACATAATAGTTATATTAGCCATTTTTAAAGCACCTCACACAGAGGAGGCCGAGATAATAGAAAACACTTTATATTTATACTGAACTAGCTGTTCCCCGCGGTATCACCCGCGTATATCACGCTCTGAGCTGCGGGACATGACAGCTCGCTTATTCTCTTTCAGTTCTCATCACGTGGCTAGGCGTCGTTTGAACGCAGAGCCGAGTGTTGAATTATTTTAATTTTCGATTATCTCTTAAACTATGCATCCAAATAACATGTTATAAACAGCAAAGTATATCTTCATAAAATTGTCATAATGTTGAAGTAACTTTCGTTTGTAAGGATTCATATGCTATGCCTAATAATAACGCTTATAAATCACTTTTCTGCCGACTTCCAAAAAGGAGACGGTACTCAATTCGACTGTATGTTTTTTTTATGTGTGTTACCTCATAACTTTTTACTGGGTGAACCGATTTCGATGATTCTTTTTTATTTGAAAGCTGATACTTCTCGTGTGGTCCCATATGGTCACACGTCAAGGTCAGACCAATAGTTATTGAGTTATTCTTAATAACTTATATTGAAGTCGGCTATACAAAATTTTTAATTTTCAATATGTATTGTCACAAAATATCTTATTGTGGCCTATGTATAAGAAATAGGACTATGGAATCGAGGAGGTTTTTTAGACGGAGGAAAAATCTATGTTTTTATACGACATAGTATTTACGTATCACTAACCATTATTCCAGCGCACACGGGTTAAGCAATTCGGGAGCTCGTTTTCTTCTGACTTGCTTAACAAAAATCAATATTTAAGGCTAGCTGAGAGATGTAACCTAATGCTAGATAGCATATGCTATTCCTCGAGAATCTGGCTATAATATACAAAAATAACTTTTCAAATCGGATTGGTACTCGTAGTTCCAGAGATTAGCGTGTTTAAGCAAACAAAAACCTCTTTCGCTTTATTACATTACTATATATTCTATCTCATTCTCTCTTATAGATTTATCAACTTGTTTCTTTTTAGTGTCGTTCTTTGTTTATTTGTTTTAAATCACAACGATGCTAAGAAGTTTTCACTTCAAAAAAAACGTGGAACGTCATAAATTTATTTGTATTATTAAAAACGAAAACGTTTTCAAAAATTAATGATATCCCACAGAAAATATAAATTTGAAAATTGGGGACTGAACGAGCGCCAAGCTCCATACCTACTAATTCATAGAACTTTATCCAATCCTATAGAAGTTAGATATTGTGTTTTTATCGGCAAAGCCGACAACCTCGAAAGTAGTTTGTACCGAACTTGTCCCTCTTTACACATTTTTATGTTTGAGAATATAAGATAGTGAGCATTAAGTATTTAATCTGTGATAGTGTGATGGATTTTCTTAAGCGCTATGTAAACGTTCAAACATGTGTGCCAAATTTTTGTATACATCCCGCTCAAGCGCACATGTTCAAGAGAGCTTAACAAAAATCGAATTTAGTTAGTTTTGAATCAGTTATCGCCGTGAACATATCAATAATGGGCAATAACGACAAACTATTTTGAGCATTAACGTTAGATCTGTATATAAAAAAGAAAAAAATGGACGTTTGATACAAGAATAGCTAAGAGAGAGATTCACTCATATAAATTTATTAAGAGTTTATATTTATAATATGGATTCAAACGACTGTGATAACTTTTGTTAGAAAATCTTCGGATATTTTATAATATTATGGGCAGAGTAGACAAAATGGAGCATTTTTTGTTAAGCGACACGAAAAATATTAAGCTAGAAGCAAGACAAGTGGTAAAATAATTTTTTTTGTAAAAGCGACTTTAATATAAATAAAATGAGAACATCATCAATGTAGTCGAAGTCAATAATTAGTAACGCATTATTAATGATAAATCAAAAACTACTGGTCAGATCTTGATCAAATTAGAAGCACCAGCTTTCAAATAAAAAAAATAATCATCAAAATCAGTTTACTAAGAAAAAAGTAAGGTAACACATATAAAAAAATACAGTCTAATTGAGTACCTTCTTCTTTATTTGAACTCGTTAAAAAAAGTCATCTATGCAACTAACAGGCATCCATCAATACTTCCTATATTTGTAGTTTACTTTAAAATTTAATACCTTTAATTAAGTAAAGCGCCCGAAACGTCGCGAATTCAAAAAGTTTTATTCAATGTGTTTGCGTAAAAGTCCACGCCAGTTCACGCATAGCTGATTTTTACAGATAATATAGATAAAAAATAACGTTGCGTTCATAGAATAGAGGTTGCCCTGTTTGACAGTCAAATACGCGTAACGGAACGCAAGCGTTGGCAGTTCCGCACGCTGCCGCGGGGAGCGCTTGTGCGCCAGTCTTCTTGCAGCAGGCGTGTGGCCGGCTGCTTGTTGCAGTGTGTGGTGCGAACTAATACACACGAGTTCGCGGTCATAGGCTCGAACGAACATCGAATTCGACGGTCAGTGCGGTGACCATGATGATGGATAACGGGGTGATGACAAATAACTATGACGGGGGGTACGCGGATGGGTATATGGAGCAGGAGGAGGAGTGGGAGCGTGAGGGTCTTCTAGACCCGGCATGGGAGAAGCAACAGAAAAAGGTCAGTTTGATCGCTAAGTTGACAAACCAATTGATGGGTGATCGAATACATTGCACGTTACAGACATTTCGCATGCATATTCATGATAAAAAAATTTAAGACAATATTAACCTTATCGCAGTCGTGACTCACGTTTCTAAACATTTTTGCGACGTATCAAAATAATACAAATTACAAACCGTATTACTTAAATTCGGCATTAATATACTGTAATTGCCTGCATACTTATCCTAAAAACTATATTATGTGATTTAATATAATTATTAAAATGTTTATTAATATTAGTCTTTATTTTTTAAATCTATGAATACAATACATATAACTGAAACGAAAATAACTCAAAATGTTTATCGCAAAAATCTCTTTTTGTATATTTACATAAACTATTGTTTAATAATACCATAGTGTTCTGTTTTTAGTATTGTGCCTGGAAGCCCGCGAATTTAATATAATTCAAATTCGATATTGCACATTTCCCGCCGCAAATTGAAAGTAGATCGCGGCCGTGGACACTATTAAAAGATTTCGTAGAGCTTTATGAGTGAGCGAGACGGGAACACGCTATATCCAACAGGAGCGAGCGGGTCAGAGAGATAGGAGTCGAATTTCCGTTAGTCATGTCCTAAAATGGGTCCAGCGCAGGCGCCGCTGAAAGCTGAAAGCGCGGGCGTCCGTCTTTACGTCACAGCAGAACCCATATTTCAGGAAATTCAGTAGATTCAGCATCTTGTGACAACGTACAGATGCATTATAATAATATGTTACCTGCACGTTGTGACGAATACGGTGACGCACTCCGTAAGCTTGATCCCAGTGGAATGTCATGAACAAATTTCAAAACCTTTGCAGAAGCTAAACTACTTTGTAGAACAGTATAATATACTCGTATCTAGATTATGGCGATAAATATTTGTTAACTTTAAAATAAAAATAATAATTTATTTAAATGATGAAAACTATAACTTTTGCGAAGAAAGAAAAATATATTAAAAAATATAATACAGAGATTTCACTTTAACGTCATATTTATTATACAAAAATCAAAATACAATAAAGTTGCCACAGTCATGATATGACTATAAAAAGTATACGTACCTAAATTAAAAAAAAAGTATTTGTAGTATTCTCGTTTGATTGTAATATATTTTATTGCGGACAATAATTTAAAAATAATTATTAATTATAATTGTAATAATAATTTTAAAATAAAAATACTTACATATAAAAAATAATAAAGATATATATAAATGACTTGCAAATCAAAACGTACATTACACAGACATCAACATTTTATTTCCTTTATTTAAAACCATTTAAAAAAGGTTATTTTATGCTCCAATTATTTATATGTTAATTTAAATAAAAACTTTAAACAACAAATTCTAGTTTATATAAACTTACGCTTGCTTAAATGCAATCTACGCAACAAAAATACAATACGTAATTATCATGTGGGTGTGTGCCGTGTTCTATCGCTAGAAATCTCGAAGGATACAAACTCAATATAAACAAAGAGCCTGCGACACAGTGCATTGCCCGATCGTGTATGGCGGGTCAATGTCGCGGTCGCGTTGAGATGCGTCTGCGTGAAGAAGTCACCCGACCAGTCATACCAGCACACCATTCGACTGGAGTGCCTTCCGCAAGGAGGTCAGTAGCACAAGCTGTCCAACCAGGATGCTGACCCCTTTATTAGGAGAGGAAAAATTATACACTGTGGACAACTTAATACAAGTTTTATATGACATATCTAGATTCAATCCAGATGAAGTCTTTATTTTTTGTCATAGACAACTTTAGAGAAAAGAATCATAAAAATATTAATAAATATAAAATATTAGTTCAATTTAAACAAATATTTTGAGCAGGCCTTTCGTAATTAAACACAAAAAAACCACTGACGGCATTAGAAACCACCCGTGAAAGTGAATAGGAACGCAGAACGGGTTTTTAAGTTGAAAATTTACATATAGTATATATACAAAGTATCTCGTATACAAGCATAAAAATATTAAGTTCAAAGAAATCTATTAGCATATTTAGATATATTTTTATTTAAACGTTGAATATTGTATATCCACAAGTAGGTAATCTATGTTACTATTGAAGTCATCGATGGTACATAATCTTATAACTCAATTATTAAAGTACATTATACTCTCAACACTATAAAAAGGAAAATAGACGTGAAAGGGAATTAATCTATTTACAAAAAAAGAAAAAGAACAAATTGACATATATTAGTAGACCAGGTAAATGAAATTATTAGACCAGAAGCACAGTATAAATAATAGTACCCAGAAGTCTTCTGCAAGTCTCATGTGTGTGTGTGTGTATATATATATATTGACTTAGTGTTCTTTTAAAAAACGTATGTAACTTTATACATACGTTTGTGCTTTTTTGTGATTAAAGATAACAAAAAAGCATAATTTTTATACATACCCTAATTGTCTTTTAATGGTTTCGAAATACATCTCCAATACAACTTGATGGACCTAACCACGAGAAACATTGCCATTGCCAATATAAATAACAAGGCCTTCAAGAGTTTTAATTACTCACCACATTAAACATCGAGCATTATGATGAATATGCGATAGCCAAGGATACATTTATATTATTTGACTTCACTTACACTGCCTATTAACGTAATTTAACGTGATTATGTGACAAATTAACTAAAAATGAAACACCAAATTAAATTATAGATCTTATTTGCTCGTAATACGCTGTATAATCATTAAATTAATTTTTCGAATCGTTGAAGCGCTATTTATTTTACATTAATTAAGATTATTAATTAATTAGAGTGGAATCTAACGTTCACGCCAGGTAACACTTTTTTAACAAAAAACTTAGACAAAAAAAATGATTTCTTATATTTACGCGAACACTACACATTAAATAAAGCTAAACTAAAACCCATGGTCACGGGGGCAGGGGCGTAGCTACCGCCGTATCAGCCGTATCAATGATACGGGGCCCCCTGGCTACAGGGGCCCCGAATGTATGTAAGTAAAAATTCTAAGGACTTCTATGGGACACGATGTTGGTTTGAATTGTTTGGCTAGCTTATTTCCTAGAAGTATTAATTGTAAGTAGGTAATAACTTATAATAAATATATAATTATTTTAATTCAATGCGAGAGTTTTTGTTCCTTTTGTGAAAAATCTTTACCCTTCATTTGGGCCCTCCGACAAATTTTGATACAGGGCTCCTCTAAGGCACGCTACTCCACTGCACGGGGGGTACTTTAAAGTGCCCGAAACGTCGGGAATTAAAAACAAGTAAATTAAACGCAATAAAATCTGTAAAAATAATTTTATAGAAAATAGTTTGTGTTAATTTATTTAAATTTCGAGCCAAAAAAAATCCATCAACCACTTTTACTTTGTCGTAAAGCATTGTTAAGTAGTTGCATATTTATGAGCAAACGCTAAAAATATAAAACCTAATTATATAAGAAAAAATATAATTTTTATATATAAGAAAAAATATATATAATTTTTAAGTTATTTGCATATTTATGAGCTAACGCAAAATATATAAAACCTAATTTTATAAGAAAAAACGTACAAATAAGAAGTTAGTAAGATACCTATGTATGATAATCGAATTAAATTACAGGAAGGGCTCATTAAAACTGCCACATAAATACTTGTTCAAATTTTGTTGACGCGATATTAGTTGTGTAACATTTGACATGGCTATTTTTTTCCTAGTCGTTGTTAGCTAACTTTGGCATCGATTCAAAAACTGGCTTTAGCGGGCGAAGTTATGCTTTATGAACTTTCGATTAATAAATTCCTATTCTTTATAACGAAATATGCATGGAATGAAAATCTCAGAAATTATTTTTTTAAATAAATCTAGTAATGTATTAACATTATTATATTACATATTACACTATTTCAATAAAATTCAACACTTCAACTAAGACGACAGTAAATGATTAATTAGTGTATCTGTCTTCGAGCTTTTACCCTTAACTATTAAGATAGAGTAGGTTATTATGTAAAGGTGCTTAGAAAATATTTTTATTCGATTCAATATTTATTTAAAACTAGCGATTCGCCCCGGCTGGCACCCGCCCTGGTGATTTCCTGGAACTCGACAGCAGCGCCCCCTACAGGGTCCAAATGTGATTCTAAACCATCTAGGGACCCATTCAAACACAAAAAAAACATTCATCAAATCGGTTTTTGATTTAGAAACAAAGAATGTCCTCGATAAAGAAACCAAATTCATTTCCTTGAGGACTAAGATAGACTGCCTTGTAACTAGTAAAGGTTGGTTTATTGAACTCAATATTAGGTAGACTAAACATTAATTGTTAGTTATTCAAAATTACCTACTGGTTATATGGGATGATATTTAATATTAGAGTTGTAATGACACAATTGTAATGTAAACAATGTTATATACAAAGTAATCGAATGAACTTGTACTATGAACATCTTACTAGGGCTAGTAATCGCCACACACCTCTCGACCAAGAAATTTGTTCAACTGAAAATCGCCACAGGCGGCCGAGGCTGTAACGCAAATTATTTTTAAAGCATTATATATTTATAGTATCATATACATCTAAAAATATGGACGTAAAAAAAAGAAAATAAAAACCTAATTATGGAAATAAACATACCCAATCAATCTCACTCTCACTCAAATAACAGACCACCGTGGTGTTAAATGTTTACTAAGATGTGTCACTCTCAAAGGTACTCTGTGGTCACTCGTTTACACACAAAACGCTGAGCTTTTACAATTATTGTATAGCTATTTTAAATTACCAGGGCTTTGTGCATAGCATGTTTGTATTGATTTACCCAAAGAAATATATTTACAATCGCTTAAATTTAAAGGAAAAAAAATATTAAATACAATATAATTCTACCAACAAAGAGTTAACTTTACATTAAATTTCAAGTTATGATAGAAGAAAACTCGAAACGGACATGCGGAAGATAAATTGTATAATTTATTGCAGAAATTC